ACAGTGACAGGGCTCCCTGCGTCACAGCGCATGCAATGGCTGCAGGCCAAGGACGTGGAGGAGCGCAGCGAATGGGTCTCCAAGTTCCGTGAATCCACCATGAGCCTGGGCCAGGTGATCAGCGAAATCTACACCTCCAGGGATGCGCATTGGTCAGCCCCCGGGCCGGCTACTCCGGAGAAGAAGACCACTGCCCCCACGGCAGCTTCGACTGCGAGTCCGTCCAAAGTCCAGCCCAGTACTTCGCCTTTGAAGTTGGGGAAACCGATCAATGGCAAACAGGTGGCCACGGCCATGAAGGACGGCACCAAACTTTGCCCCCAGTTTCAACGTGGAGGGTGCAAAGCCAAGCCATGCCCCCAAGGAGCCCACCGTTGCGCAGCGGTTATCAGGAAAGACCGAGTGTGTGGAGCTTTCAACCATGGGGCGGCCAATTGCACTGGCAAGCGTTGACACACCCCAGAAGAGGAGGCGGCTGCCTCTTTTGGGTCAGACGGCATAGAGCCGCAGGAGGGGCGACCTCTGATGGCGGATCTTATGGCGGGTCCCAATGCCCCTCTTACCAAAGCCTTTATCAGCTGTGGTTGGAGCTGCCTGACAGTAGACTGGTTGCTGGACGAGAGCCATGACCTCTCGGACGAGCGCAGGCAACGATCTTTGAGCAAGCAACTTGAAGAGGTGATCTTCATTGCAGCGGCCATCGATTGCTCCACCAAGAGCCGAGCCAGAGAGATTCCTCGGAAGTTCGAAGATGGCAGGCCAGCACCTGGCCCTCTCCGTTCTGAAGTCTACCCAGATGGCCTGCCTCATTTGACTGGCAGAGATGCCAAAAGGGTTGACATGGACAACAAGGCATGCAACTACGTCTTGGGAGAGATCCAGAAGCTGAGAGACAGAGGTGGAGGCAGTGTACGAGAGAATCCTGCCCGTTCTTTGCACTGGTGGACTTCAGCAGAGGTGACCATGTGGGAGTCTGGACAATGGGTTGACACATCGTACGCAGCATGCACCTTAGGTGGCGCACGTTGCAAGCATCAGGTGTTGCGGCACAATGTGGAGGAGATCCAGCGATGGCCCCCAGCCAATTGCCACCACGTGCATGACCCACAAGAATGGACCCCCTACACATCTGAGGGCATCAGAGTTTACCCTTCTAAAGAAGAGGCAGAGTACACGGCAATCCTTGCTTTCTCCATTGCAGTCTCAGCGAGTTGGTGGGCAGCCCGTCGAGGGATGGCCAAGTTGCAAGTTCCTCGCATGCCCACATTTCTGGCTGTGGGACGACGGGAGCATTGGCTGGACATGGACCCTCGCGCAATGCGGGAGTGGGCCATGGCACCTTTGGCGGTGACACTCGGGCTGACAGAATCCCTGCGAGCCGAACGACCGGGGTTATCGCCTTGGACACCAGGCCACAATTGCGAGGCTGGAGAATGGCATGCACGGTACATTGTCCATATCCGCACATCGCCGTTGTGGGACGCCCTGCATGAGCTCAAGGGCATGGCCTTAGCTTGCGACTGTCCCATGGAGCAGCTTTGCGAGGCCGATCTTCTCATTGGACTCTACTTCGATGCCATGGCTCCTGGGGGCGACCCAGGCAGCAGAGGCACAGACGGCAAATGGAGCCGGGCAGTGACATTGTTGCAAGGTATCCAAGCGATCCCCAAAGGAGTAGCCCTACCCATGATGAGCCAAGAGGCAGTAGTGCTGGCCTTTCGCAAGCTTTTCCCCGAGCATTGGTTCAGGAGCTATAAGTTTGCGATGGTGGAGGACCTCATCAACAGCCCGCCGTTTTGTTCCTACGCAGAATGGTTGGCAGAGCGTGGTGAGGCTTGGGACGGTCCTTTAGTCCCCCACCTTGCTGCGGGGCCCGTGAGGCAAATGGCCCGAATTGGAGATGGATGCCAAGTCGGTGCAATGACGCATAGAGCAGCACTACCACCACTCTTGGCGTTCAACCTGGAGCCAGATGATCATTTCCACCAAGCCCTCCAACGGGCCCAGCGGCCTTTGCCATATGAAGACCTTCCAGTCTCCGACATGGACTTGGAGTTCGTGGCCGAGGCATATGCATCCCCGACCAAATCGCTGAGGCCGTGGAGGCAACAGGCAGTGGGGGCACTGCGCGAGCTGAAGAGACGCTGGGAGGGGGTGACCCTCCACTTGAGAGCGTTTCAAGAAACCGCCGTGCAGCAAGTCACAAAACATCGAGATATGGGGCTCATAGCATTGCTGATGGTGTTGACATCTTGGGCTGACACTAGCTTCCCCTTTGGCTTGATCTGTGGTTTGCCGGCAGTGGGCTACGCGCCACCCTATGGAATTTTTCCCCAGCAGCCGGCTGAGGTGATCAGCATGGCAGATGTTTTGGATGGATGGCAGGAGCACAACCAGCACATCCTGAAACAGCTGCGAGCAGGCAAAGATGACGAGTTTCTCTTGCAACAATCCATGGAGGATGCCAACAACGGTTTTTGCACCGCACCTCTGCGACGAGCCGAGTTTTTGCGGCTTATTGGCAATCGAGCACATCGTCTGATCCCTCGTTGTGTCATCACGCAGAGCTCCGGCAAGCAGAGAGTGATCGACAATGGCGACACTGGAGGACAATCAGCCCTCTCCTCTGATGCCAACAAGCTCACCTTGTGCAGCCCTTTGCGCCCGGCCCAGCACATTCGTTTGGTGATGCACAAATGGACAGCCGAGGACATCGACCACTTCTTCGCCAACGATGCCTGGGAGACAGGCCAAGAGGATCTCCCATCAGCCTACCGGTATTGCCCCATGGCGATGCAGGAAAGCTTAGGCTGCGTGGTGGTGTGGTACCACCATGAATGGCAAACTCCAGCATATCAGGTCTATGCAGGCCTCCTTTTTGGACTTCCGTTAGCGGTCACTTCATTCAACCGCTTTTCCCGGTTGTTGGAAGCTCTAGCCAGGCGTTTTTGCCAAGTTTTGACATCTCTTTACTTCGACGATGCGACCATCACCGACCTACGTTCTTCCAAAGGCTCCGGACAATGGGCCATGAACCAGCTTTGCAAGCTGATCGGCTCCCCCTTTGCTGAGGACAAGAAGCAGTCAATGCAGAGCACAGGCACCTTTTTGGGCCTAACCCATGACCTCGACTGCATCAACCAGACAGGGCATGTCCGGTTTTGGGCCCGTGAACGCCTTCATGATAAAGTTCGTGACCTCCTCACTACGGCCAGGACTACAGGTCACTTCAGCCGTGGCACAGCTGCGAAGTTGTATGGCCTAGCGAATTTCCTGGAGCAGGGTATTTATGGCCGTGTAGGATATGGTGGCCTGATGGCAATCAAAGCCAGACAGGATGAAACCACTACAGCGGTAACCCCTGAGATTGAAGCATGCTTCGAGGTGATCGAAGCAGTGATGCGCTTTCAGCCAAAACGGGAGTTTCCCGTTCTTCACCTGGACAACCTACGTTTCCTTGCTGCTTCGGATGCTGCGGTGGAAGCTGACAATCCAGGTTCCGGAGGTTTTCACCTCATCTTTTTCCAGCATGACGGATCCCAGATACGTCACAGTTTTGTAGCCAACAATTGTGCAGAGCTTCAGAAATTATGGCAGCCTGCCGACACACACATCGCCCAGTTGGAGCTCTCGATGGTGCTGTACGCCTTAGTGGAACGACCTGACCTGTTTCGAAATCGACACGGGCTTTGGTTTCTGGACAATGTTGCAGCCGTCATGACGCTAGTGAGAGGACGTTCTAGCAATGCCGACTTAGCCAAGCTAGGTCATTTGATCCATCTAGCTCTGTTTGCACTGCGAGCCCAGGGTTACTGGGAGTACGTCCAGAGCAAGAGCAACTGGGCTGATGACATCAGCCGCCTCGGCGCTGAGGACCCATGGTGGCGATGCCATGGTTTTGACTTTTATTCGTCGTACCTTCCCACTATCTTTTTCCAGCTGCCTTTCGTCGCGGTCATTCTCACCTTTGAATTCCTATAGTGCTTTGGGGATTTGAGTGCATTGGGTGATACCTGCTGAGCAGGTTCCAGCCTGGGTTGCCAGGCAGCTGACCAGTGGTGATACTGGTCTGAGGCTATGTACATGTCACAACGTGACGACCCAAAGCAAACCTGAGGATTGCAGGTGAAACGTGATTGACATTGGCAGTGCTGTGAAAAAGGAAAGCTGCGGAAGAGCGAGTAGTATCGAGTTTCATATAACACTTTGAGATGTACCCATGCATCGAGTTTGGCAGGCTTGGGTGTGCATGTATCATCTTCAAGTGTTCAATGAATGCTATCATTTTGGCTCAAGTAAACTTGAACCAAAATAGCATTCATTGCTGTTTTCTTTCCCCACCCTCCCAACCCTAAGAGCCGACCTCCCGTGGAGATGTCCGCCTAGGTTAGGGGAGCCTGCACGGCAGGCGAGTCCATAGCCTCTTTCGGGGACCCTCTCTTGGGGCGACCAAGAGAGCCTTCCCTCCCTTAAGCTTAAGGGATGGGTGATACCTGCTGAGCAGGTTCCAGCCTGGGTTGCCAGGCAGCTGACCAGTGGTGATACTGGTCTGAGGCTATGTACATGTCACAACGTGACGACCCAAAGCAAACCTGAGGATTGCAGGTGAAACGTGATTGACATTGGCAGTGCTGTGAAAAAGGAAAGCTGCGGAAGAGCGAGTAGTATCGAGTTTCATATAACACTTTGAGATGATATAGTATAATTTAATATAATATATAGTATAGTACAATATAATATATGGTATAATATCTAATATTTAATATATAAAATACAATATATAATATATAATATATAATATATAATATATAATATATAATATCCAATATATAATATACAATATATAATATATAATATAAGATTATATATATAATATTATATTTAATATTATTTATAATAATATATATTATATAATGTCATGTAGTATAATATAGTATATATTCGTAATACATGCGTATTGATATACACTCAGGGTTGGGGGATGATGATGGCTGTGCCAGGCTGGTCAGTGGTCTTTCGCAAAGCGTGTCTCAGCTGAAGATGGCATGACTAAATACCACACAAATGGCTCTGTGGTTAGTTTTTGATAGCCAAAAAGTAAAAAATAATAGTATGGATCAAATTATCTCAACATTTCATTTGTATACCTATATGATAAACAATGGATTGCTATCATGTATCCATATTTCCTCCGTGATCAGTTTTCGATTGCCATGTGTTTGGATATGTTGGGGGTATCATTAAAAGAGACACAGCGGTCACACACACACACACATCCAGCTTCGACATGGATGAAGAGATGATCCCAGTCATGGAAGTCGTAGCTATGGAAGACATGGCCCATGGCTAGTTCGATGATTTATCGATAAAAAATGGTGGCGTTTCATAGCAAACTGTTAAATTCCCCAAGGGGTAGGTCTTGGGTGTTATGTAATGTATTGTGTTGATTTATGTCGACTTCTTTTCGTGAAACTGGAAATTTTGACCAGACCAATCGGGCCAGTGTTTCGCTGCATGTGAAACAAGAACATGCGATCACCCATCAAAAGCCATGACATTGGACGAACGGATAAACCAAGGTAACCGCCTAGAAAACAATAAAGAAACAACATCCGCACTTGGTGTTTTCTACTTGCTTCATCGCATGAATCATCATTTCCAAGCCACATCAAGCCACAACAGACCCATGGCCCATGGCGGTGGGGTGTCCCAATTCAGGGCCGGGAGCATGCAGATGAGCCGCGGTGCAGAGATCCCGGAGCTGCACTTCCAGGCCGTCACCATGTTGGATGGGGATGGGATGAGATCCAGATATCACTGGGATCAAGGATGGGGGCTGTTGAAGATGAGCGGGTGGGATTAGCCAAGGAAAAAAATGGGTTGATTTTGCCAAGGGAATAGCGATTTTCCCATTTTCATAGAGCTGAATGTTACCATGGATTGCGTTTGCAGCTCCAGTTTTGGTTTTTTGGCTGCAAGGAGCGACACTGTTCCAAAGACCATTTGGGAGAAAGTGGCTACACACCAGATAACATGTTTTGAACCATAGCACAAATGGTACTGTTTGATATAAACCACCTAGGGGTGAAATGGATTACTGTAAGATGTGATTCAAACGAGACACATGACTATTACTGTAGTTTGTTTTTTGTTGCGTTGTTTTTGGGCTGGATATAGATATACCCTGCGGTCATCAAACATGGCAATGGAAAATCAACATTTTTAGTAGGTAAATTCATCTATAAATGGGTCAATTTACCATGGCTATGTTGAATTGCCGGGTATTTGACATATTTTGACATGAAGTCACTGGGAATCTGGATCGCATTGCCCCTTTCCTCCTAAACCTTGGGGCCAGTGTCATGGACATACTTGGTCCCCCCTTCCAGTCCACTTTTATTGGTTGATACATGTGGGAGCCCCATGTTGATACCCCATCTATCACTGTTTAATCCTCTGTTACTATATTTGTCCTTTCTGTATGGGTTAGAACACACACACACACACACTTGTTGGTTCAAATCCATATGTTCATCGTTCTCATCGGCATGTTTCATCTTGACGTACCATGTGTTTTTTTGGGCTTGGACGGTCCAACACCCCAATGTTTTTCTCGAATCCTCATCCCCAAAAATGGCCAAACCAAACCCGAATTCTTGTCATTCAAATGAACTTGTTGTTGTCATAATATCCAGCTTCAATGGGTTTACTCTCAGGGTTTTGGGGTTTAATACAATGTTTGTACATCCATATGGTGATGAGATGTGATGAGTCAAAGCCGTTTGCACCATGTTTTTTTAGATATTTTACGATATTTTATAACAAAAATATTTAGTAGAATGATTATCAATTTATAACTTATAATTTAGATATTTTATAACCATGATTTATTACTTATATCAATTTATCAATTTGCCAGTTATTTTGGTATATTTTGATCTCCCAAATGGGGCGTGGATTCTTTCGGGGATGCGCCGTGTGGGAACCTGGCGCCAGATGCGGAAACGCTGGGCGGAAGATTGGTGGCCTTGGCTGGCGCCAGTTGGGTGATGAAGATGACGGTTTTATGTGATTTTTGGTTCAGGCTTTATGATGGTTTTCATGATTTATGTGATGGTTTAATGATGTTTAATGATTGGGTTTCTGTGTGTGTTATGGTATTTAATGATGGTTTATGATGGTTTCTAACCCAATTATTGGGTTGATGATGGTTGTTGACCGCATGTTTTGAAACAAATGGTGAAATATTGGGTTTTGATGATTTATGATAGATAGACTGTATAAATTGGATGGGTTTACCCTCTGGCGCACAACACTTTGCGAATTGAAAAGTCACTGTTTTTACTCGGAATTTATGATCGAACCAAGGCCATGGCTTCCAGTTCGCAAACTGCCACTTTACTGATCAAGCGGTTGACCAGCACAGCATCCTCGAAGGATCCAGCCAGACTTTCCAGACATGAAAAATATGGTTATTACAATTTTTCTGGATGGGTCAAAACCGGTACATACCGGAAAAAATTGGTCGAATAATTAACCATCCATTGGCCAACTATTTTTTTTGGTACCTAGGATACCTGGCACCATTTTTTGGGATGAGTTGAAACATGTTGAAAACACCAAGCACCAAAGATGTTCCTCCTTAAGTAACTTAGGCCACGCCTCACTCGCGAGGCACCGGATGCGAAGCTTCTTGGGGTAGCAATAGACATCAATAGACCCACAGAATGGAATGTGGTCATTTTATGTTATGTTCAGATATGTTTGGTAACCTTTGGTATAGGTAAACCATGGTAAACCATGCCCAGATGGGGGGTCAGCATGGGTCAATCATTTTTCCTGACAGTTCACCGGAAGCTAGGGGAGCATCATCCAGTTATTACAGGGTGCTTTATAAACCTCATAATCTATAGCAATAGTCATCTATAGTCTATAGTTAGGTCTATACTTATCCATCATAATCCATCATAATCCATCATAATCCATCATAAGCCATCATAATCCATCATAATCCATCATAATCCATCATAATCCATCATAATCCATCATAATCCATCATAATCCATCATAATCATATAAAATCATATAAAATCATATAAAATCATATAAAATCATATAAAATCATATAAAATCATATAAAATCATATAAAATCATATAGAATCATATCGAATCATTTTTGGATCTAAGAAAAAAATGCTGACTTAGAATTGTGGCTTTACTGCCAGGATGGCCTGGAACCTGGTGCACCTGGCAAGAGGCTGATTTCGCGACCGATTTCGCGATTCAAGAAAGATCTGGGTCGAGTGATCTGTAAAACACCGTGGTGCTTAAAGAAGTTTTTTGTCTAACTCTAGTCTATCTAATTCTTTAGATCTAGAATGTGGTTGGAGTTTTTCTTAATGAAACTCGCTTTCTGGTGGCTGTGAAAGTTTGCGATCAGATGAATGGGTGCTTTGTTTGTTCTCATTAAAAGCATTAAAATTGACGAAGTTGGCTTTCTATTGACCACTCCGGAGTATACATCAGTTGTTTTAACACGTATAAATCCATAAAGAAAACAGGATTGGAGAAAAACTGAATAAGTTACTCCCGAAATGCCCGAACTGTAGATGTCCTATCATGTTTTACATATGTTTACAACACTATTCAGAAGTGACCAGTTCGGATGGTCCTGAGATTGCCACAGGTTAGAGAGCAGCCTGACCTGCCGAGAATCTGCTAGCAGCTTGGATGATGGATCCACTAGGATACATTGTAGCCCGCTCAGTAGATAGAACAGTTGTATGTATACTGGTTCACTGGTTGGTGGTGACTGGAACATGTTTTATTTTCCCCAATAGGAACTGGATGATGATCCAATCTGACGAGCTCATATTTTTCAGAGGGGTAGGTATACCACCCAACCACTATACATTTATAAATCATTTTAAACATATGGAGGAAACTTTCATCGAACCAACATTCTAGAAACACGTGTCCATCTTTTCTGGGGGTTGCTATAGCATGATAGATTCATTAGCAAATAATACTGTAAAACCTCTAACTATCAGGGATAATTATCATAGAATCATTGGCCAATGATTATTTGCTAAAGAATTACAGTAATTCTTTTGACAGAATTGAGTAATGAGTATCATGGAAATACATTTTAGCCAATGCATGTTTGAAACTAACAAGAGTGACATGTTAGCGTCTATTAGCTCAAGAATCAAGATTATGTTAGGCCATTTCGATGTCGTCCAATAATAATTATGTTGGTGGTTTCAAGCATTTAAGAGTTTTCCATATCTATTGCTTAGTTTCCTGTAGGGTATCATCTAGGAAGTTTGATGTGGGGTTTGATACCCGCGTATATAATCATATGTACATACCGGCCCAAAAATAGATAAACAGGATTAACAAGGTAGTTTATCACTAGTAGGATTGCACGTTTCTATTTCTTTGGGGGGTTCTACGTATAAGATCACCAACTTTCTGCACGGACCACGAGGTTTCTATTGCCCTTCAAGCAAGTCCTGTGTGGCCGTGTGCTCCAGTTGTCAGGCAGGTCAATGGATGACAATCGGTTGTTTTATGAGCTGAAAATGGGGATGAACCCCCCAACAAAATGGCAATTTTCAAAGATGGTCCACATGATTTTCGCAATGTTTCTATATTTAAAATATCAATGTGGTCTATCTCTATGGAAAGCTCATGCTTTGATTTTCATCCAATTTTGGGGTACCTGATTTTCAGACAAACCGTGACCAAACCAATGGGAAATCCGTCCAGATTCAGCCAGCAGATTCTGCTGTGCCACGGATGCCACAGCCTTGTTTCCATCGAGTAAAGCTGAGGAGAGACTTACCAAAAGCAAACGAAAGAACCAGATCAACAAAGTCATAGAAAGCCCATTTAATTGTCACAGTTGGCACACAAAAGACCCTTGTTGTGGACAAGGTTGCACGAAGGACTGTTGGTATGAAAAGTGATCAGCATCCATGGTTTTTCTTGAACGATCCACTGCTGATGTCATTCCAAGATTCATGGAAGTATGGCATGATTCCTGATTTTACCAATTCTTACCTTCGGAAACAAGGCAATTCAGGATGATGTAGGTGATATACGTGGATAAATCTAGATGTACCATACGTGGATGCTATGGTGCTACGGGATTGAACGAGATGCACCAAGCTGCCTCAAGACATCCTCCCAGCCGCTGGGCAGGACTTTCCACGAGAAAAACTTCGATGTACTCAGGATTTGAGTTCTTTGCAGGTGGACTGGAGAGGTGGCGATGGATCGATGGATCCCTAGTTGAAGATGATTCAAAGCAGGGATCCCTGTAGGTAGTCAACCGTGGCTCATGGCGAAGATATGCTAGGTATTCAAAAGTTGTTCAAACATGTAAATATGTATGTTTACATATATATATATAATTATATACTGGTTGGTGGTTTGGAACATTTTTTATTTTCCATAATATATGGGATAATCCTTCCCGTTGACTAATATTTTTCAGAGGGGTTGAAACCACCAACCAGTATATATATATACATATACATGTATTCGAAGCACATACATCCCTTTGTAGATTCTGACAATAAAGCATTAGATCTCGCCATATCTCACCATATCTCTCCCCATGAAACGGTTGTTTCTAGTTCAATTGGAATATATTAGTTGATCATCTTTGAAAGGCTAAGAACTCCACTTCGCAATGTTTTTTTGCGGTTGTTGTGGTCCGACCGTTGTCAAACTCCCACTGCGAGCCTCGCGCCCAACGCTGGTTTTGGACAGCGACCCGTGACGGAGGCTGTCCGGACGCCCATGGAGGCCAGCTTTCAAGATGAGGAGATTCGGAGCTGGTTGGTGGTGACTGGAACCATGGGATTTTTCCTGGTTAATCTATGGTTAATCTATGGTTAATCTATGGTTAATAATGGTTAATAATGGTTAATCATTGGAATAACACTATATCTGGTTGGTGGTGACTGGAACCATGGAATTTTAATGACTTTCCCATCATATTGGGAATGTCATCATCCCACCTGATTTTAACTCCATCATTTTTCAGAGGGGTAGGTTGAAACCACCATCCAGATAGGGGTAACATGGGGTAACTACTGGGGAACTACTGTAATTAGTAGCAACATAGATATGTTTAATAGCCGAAGCTGTCGTTTTGCTTTCAGGTTTGTGAATGAAAAAAACAACAGAAGGTGGGGATATGTGGGGATGTTTAGCCACGAGCCATGGACAGGTTCTTCAGCTGAAGTTTGATGGAAGTGAGAAATCTGAAGAACTGGAGATGGGGAAATCTGAAGAACTGACAATTAGAGACTTTGGACCGTAATATATTGTATCTAAATATCCGTGCGTTGGTAATACCTCAGTTGCTTCACTGAGCCAGGACCTATCTCCCGCTTCTGT